ACACACACACACACACACACACACACACACACACACACACACATGTATTTTGTCAAGGAATATTTGGATTTGTTTTTACTAGCTATAAATAATTTCACAATTAGGTCTAGGATGTACTTTGGTAAGTTCCTTCAGAACTACTCTAAGACAGTGGTTGCCAAGGTTGAGGTCGGGACCCCTCTGTGGGTCACAAGACATGAGTGAGGGTCCCCAGAGGATTTCCAGACATCAGATAAAATGCAGCTACTGTATGTTGTTAATGGAATATTTTCACCATAATTACAAAAAAAATAGATTCATAGTTTGTATGTTTGCTTATATTGTTATTAATGTTTAAGAGAGTTATTAGCTTAGTTTATCATAAGTAAACCAGTTTCTGCAACTGTTATTTTTGTTTAGTTTGAAAACCACTGGTCTAATATAAACTATGTTGCCAAAAGTATTCTCACCTGCCTTGACTCACATATGAGCTTAAGTTCCATCTCATTCCTAACCCATAGGGTTCAATAKGACGTTGGTCCACCCTTTGTAGCTAGAACAGCTTCAACTCTTCTGGAAGGCTGTCCACAAAGTTTAGGAGTGTTTATGAGAATTTTTGACCATTCTTCCAGAAGCACTTTTGTGAGGTCACATACTGATGTTGGACAGAAGYCCTGYCTCMCAGTCTCTGCTCTAATTCAAGGTGTTCTATCGGGTTGAGGTCAGGACTCTATGCAGACCGGTCAAGTTCATCCACACCAGACTCTGCCATCCATGTCTTTATGGAGCCTGATTTGTGCACTGGTGCACAGCCATTTGGATGGGTGAGCAAATACTTTTGGCAATATAGAGTATGTAGAGTAGAGCTGTTCCACCCTCTGACTGCTGCAGGGGCGTGTCTTAGAGAGAGGCTTTTATACCAGAACACAGCCACTGTGATGAAACTGTGGAGAAGACACGTCACCGTGGAGAGCCGTTAACCAATATGCAAATTAGCCTGCAGTACCACTGCTCTACCCATATGAGCAGCAAAAACACGTTTTTAGACCAAATATTATAGATTTGAACAAATACGTACAAAAACATCACAATTAGCACAGAAACAGTACTATATAACATTTTAGACAGTTTATCAGCTAAAAAAAAAGTTAATTTTAGGGTAAGTTACTCTTTCAACTCTCTCTCTCTTGCTACCTCTCCAGAAACTTTTTTAGACTTCAATAAAATGGCTGATACTCTCTTTCCTCTGTGTGGAGTAAGAGCCTCTGATTGGCTGAAAGTTTGTCACCATGGGTGGGGCCAACTCCCACAGACAGATCACAGACTGCAGGATTTAAACTGAATAAACAGATCAATAACTCTGTTCATCTAACTGAGTGGATCAGGCTTATAATGACTTTGTGATCACAGRGACAATTACAGCAGGATAAAATATATTCTCTTTTGACATTCAGCATTTTTTAGAAATCTCAGTCACATGATGCACTTACGTGCAGTGRCCCAAAGGGGTCACTGTTGAAGCACGGATGAATCTTCTGGGGTTTCTTTTGATGTTTCTTAAGCCCATTCATCTCAGCAGGACCGCTGTTCCTTACAGCTAAGAAACTGATTGTCATCTGGGTTTTGCAGACACTGAGTCTGGGCTAGTAGTGATCTGAAGGGGTATCACAGCATGAAATTCTTATGTCCCTGTGGATAAAACGGTCATGGGTGGAAGTTCAAAAGGGGTAGGTGTCATAGTTTAATTAAGGAGAAATCACAGTTTGGGTTTGTTCCTGAGAGGTAGGAAGTGTAGAGATAACAAAAGCAGACAGTTTGTGTCCTTCCTGATGGGGGAGGGAATAAAAGTCTTGGTATTCAGATTCTACAAAGAAGGTAATCTTCCACGTTRGTGCTACAAATCCACCCTTTGCAAATCACAACCTTGTCCACYGTTGTGAATTGCAACACATCAGCACAATGTGAGATGGCAAGTTTACATAGTCCTTGTGGTAGATCTTGAGGTACTGTATTTCCATAGTGTTTGTCCCAAAGAGAGTTCAGGGGTAATCCAGGGGAGGTATYTCCAAACAAGAACAGGAAAAGTCCGGAACTTCCGGATGGTGATGTAGACTGGTTCTCTTATTTGGTGGTGAGGTAGATCTCTGAAGAGTGGAGTCGAGAGGGTCCATCTCTGGTCAGAATGAGGTGACCACCAGGGTTGAGGTAAGTTTGCTCTCTTATCTGGTGGTGTGCTCTCTAATGACAACTAAGTTATCAGGGGGCCTACAGGGGTACTGATCTTAGTTAGGTTATCTATATGTAGCTACACTAGAGGAGTAATTTTGTAAAAATATTAATAAAATAGTTGACAACCTGTCATCACTAAATCTACGATTAAGTGGATAATATAAATGGTATAAAATTATCAACGTGTTTCTGGCACGTGCTAAAGGATGGGGACTCTGTTGTGGAAGACTAGATTATCAAGTTTATGACACATGCTAAAGGATGGAGACTCTATTTGTTGTGGGAGACTAAACCAATGAAAGTTTAAAGTAAGGTTATGTAAAATGAAATGTTATTGGGAGTGGTGTTTTTACTTGCGCCTAAACCTTGAGATTTTTGTAATCTATCAAAGGTTGGAAATGGTTCAGGAGGTCTTGTCCAATGAGAAAGGGGATTGAGTCGGAAGGAGACACATACACTGGGTGTTTGAGAGTCATAGGGCCTATCTGTATTCTACTAAAGCCACTGACGTTATGATGGCGTCAGGGGTGTGTGTAGGACTTTATTTCTAACGCGCATGGTTGGAGGGACAACTTCCCGTTAGCGCGTAGGCCTTTGTTTGTAGCAATTTGAACAGGCTGGCAGACATCAGGGTCACATCAGCTGCAGTGTCAAGAAGGGCTTCATGTTCTAATGCTTTCTCCATTTTCAGTGGTAGGTAGAGCTTTCAAGCAACCCCCCTTTCGGTCAGATCACGCAAAAACTGGAGGGCTGGTGGTTCCCCGGGAATCCTGGGACTGCCACCGTTTGAGGTTAAGTCACCATGATCGGTTTGGACCACCAAGACTGCGCTAGGGATGTTTGAACCTTRGTCCTGTGATTCRGAYTCYGATAGAGCTGAATCAGAATTGWCACTTGTGTCCACAGAGTCTGAGGTGTCCTCAGTATCAACAMGTGGTGTTGTTAAGTCTGTGGTTTKTTTTTCATAMYTCTGGCTAGAGTCCTCTTGGGGCTCTGCTTCAGGTTCTTTYGATGAAATAGACAGAACATCTGTCTTTTTGTTCTTGTTCTTTTTCTTAAGGCACTCTTCTACTGCATCTCGGATCATGTCCACAGTAAGCTTAGTTCGGTTATCAGGTTTCTCATCTCGAGACCTAGGGGACTGTTTCCTCCTTTCAACATGTTCAAGGCATTAGGGAACCTCTTCAAGATATTGACGTGAATGCCTATCTTGGTATGGTCTTTGAGGGTAACCATGTCTCTCATGGTTTGGTTGGTTGGAGAAACGTTGGTTTCCTTGGAAATCTCTATAGTTTTGTTTTTGGGGTGGTCTGCTCAGTCTAGAGTCTGGGTACCTGTAAGAGTCTTTGTTCGGTGGGGACCCATTAGGGCAGAACTGTTGTCTCTGGCCTGTTTTAGGTGATGAGTAGGCAGGTTTGACTCTCTATGAGTCAGGTCTGMCTGTGGCTACCTCCAGTTCTAGGGGTAGATCTTTTGTGCTCACTGCTAGGACTGTGCTGGGCTCTATAGGTTTGCTTTGATTCACCTTTTGAAAAGCTAGACAAGCATACTTGCYCAGTTATTAGTTTTTATTCCAGTTTTATCTGCAGTTATTATTCCAGACATGTCAAATTCATTACATATAACATAGTCTGAATCTATATATCTCAATAAACCTTTACACATATCTACAAAAAATGAAACCACTTAGACTAATTATACACAAATAAACCCATAAAATAAATATACACCCGATGTGCACACACCTCTGTGTACACCTACCCAAGTACATACACTCACATGAAGC